CGAAAAGCATGAGATACGGCTAGCCCTAGTGGGAAGTCCCAGGCTGGGCACTCGATGCTGTCCCAGCTAAGGAGGTGCGGGCAGGTACTCGGGGTTTTCGGGCCTCCTCTGTTAGTATGAGTGCATGGCCTGTTGTGTGCACCACTTTCATGTATATCAGCCAAACTGGAAGTCGATCGTATGTTCAGTGACATTGGGCTGACCTCGAACGGGTAAAGCTATAAAAATCAAAACTGACATTTTTGTGTAAGGTCAAAAATGAGTGGAGCAATCATGAGTGCTATGATGCCCCTTTATTGAAGGTAGGCAAAGGTTAGTTGATAAAACAATCACCCGTTGGTGTGAAACAGGGTCAAAATCTACTGATTCACGAACAATAAACTGCTACTGCCTTAATAAGTAATAATTTCAAACTGGGAAGATTGTATTTATTATGTACAGGGTGAAATAAGTTTAAATGAAATATATGACTTAAATGCGATATTTCAATTGTTATAGGTTTCCTATGATATGTTCATTATTTTTATAGCTGCATTTTTTCATTATAATATAATCTTAATTTTCCTGGCTATGAACCGTGGTAAAGGTAAGACAGGACAATCTCAGTACTCTACTTTACTGCTTATATTTTGAACCACTCACTAATATTTTAATGTTGTGCTGTGAACTCCAAGACCTCACTAGAAACTACATTTACCTCATCTACTTCACAGAAATAATCGATGAATTATTTTATAACTAGTACTGTAAATTTCCTCGTGGTTACAGGATTATGATATATTTCATACTCTGATACAAACCACGTTTTCTGACTCTTTTTCGTCTTTGCAGTGTTAAGTTCTCCTGTGGTTTCATTTCAGGAGATAGCTTCAATACATAGGTCATTCATTTTAGATAGAGACAGAAAGAGTATGAAAGTCACTCATTACTGAAACTAAGTAAACAACAATTCATTTCTATATAATGGGAATCACATTGTGAAGTTAATGGTAAGTTCTTGGCAGTTTGTGGAAGAAAATTAAGTTACTCAGTAATAATGAGTAGAAGTAGCATGAAGTAAATGTTACCTGACTTCAAGTCCTTGATTTCACATAGCGCATTTCTCGAAGTGAAAACATGTTAACTAATATTTAACTGTGATAACTTAGGTAATTACTCAAATAAGCTTGAAGTCTAATACGAAATGTTTGATTTTAACTGGGTACTGAATGTTTTATCCAGTCACAACTTATCATCACAAAAATGAAAAGAAGTTTCATTCAACCTCAATTCTTCAACTTTGACTCCATAAAACTTTCGCTAACACTTGTCTATCCTTAACAGATTTAGATTTAAACATTTCTTAAATCGCTTTCAAGAAAATGTTAGTCAGTCAACAGGTTCGGTGGTCAACATTTGTATTTTACAAAAGAGGCTTCTTCCGGACAAGTTTTCTGTGAAATCGGAGCTGGTGGATTTTGTGAGAAATATGAGACATTTTATTGCAATCTTACTGATGTTTCAGACCACAGGAATTTCAGCTTTGTCACTAAATGATGGTGATTGGCTTTTTTGCTGAACCCCTTTCTTTCTGAAAGACGCGAAAACTGGATCTATGCTAAGGTTCTGACTGGACATCCGTTAACCTGAATGATAAGCTTTTAAAAATTTCATGGATAGCTAGGAATTCAGATCAATAATTCTACATTGTCATATTCAAACTTATGCCAACAAATATTAGTATAGAGGACAAAGAGCTATGCTATTTTAGTACCATATGATTTCGTACATGTATCTCAAGAAGATGCTGCTTTGTCTATAATATGGTGTTTTCAATGTATAAGCTTTATTTTGCCTAGGAAACTAAGCTTATCCCTTTTAGTAAGTGTTTGGTGTACATAGTAATTTTTAAAATAATCCTATTAACTTTTAGGTACTTGTGATTTTTGATACACTTATTCTTTGTAGTAGTGTGATTTCCACGACTGGTTGGTCAGTTAAACACTAGTTGGTGAAGGGGTGGGGATGATCGCCCACCAAAAAGACCTTGTAGATGTTATTCTTCTTCTGCACTTACGAACAGTATTTACATAGGACTCACGGCAGTCTTTGTAGTGCTTGGAAATTTGTTTTATGCTTGTTAACCTATAGTTTTGCCTCGAGTGCTCTCCTGAAATATATATTTAGAGATAAGAGACTGACATCTTTAAAACTCTTCAATGTATTTAATTTTCCGGTGTGGACCACTGAATAAGCAGTAAATCTTACCCATTATTCAAGACTGAAGTAAGGAAAAAATCACCAAAATAATCCACCCATAGTTTTTATTCGGTTATCATTATACCCTTCATTTTCGTATTCAGTTTGTCATCTTCGAAATCTGACTATAATGATCCTCATTCTTCTATTCCATTTAAATATTCTCCTGGAGTGAATTATGTCGGAGTTTCTCAAATTCTGTCGAAAACTTCAACTCAAGTTTTGGCAACGTAAATCTATGAGGCACACAAGGATTAGAGATTTTGAGATTTAGTGCCACTTATTGTCCATAATTTTGATAATCTTTTTTACCTTAGACAATAGTCGTTCCGTTACTCATAATGCCAGGTGCTCAGACTAGAGTTATCCTCCCCACTTGAGGCTATACGTCATACTGTAACATACTGGGCATTGTAATATGCATCACTTGTTTTACCGTCTGACTTCCATTTTATTCCACAGAAATGGATAATTCATGTATGGATTGTATTGTATAATGACGATCGAAATCTGTTTTAAAAAGTCTGAATATTTGACATTTTCTAGAAAACTTACTAGTCAACTAATTCGGTGAATTTACTGCACAAATTTAGAGAACCAGCCCACTCATACAATCTGTTCAGATATTAAAGCGTATTAGTCGAAAAGAAGACTTTTCAGCTTTCGCTAAGGATAAATGCCTTGTTGATAGTGTCTAGTATGAAAACATTTCTCAAGAGAAGATTGTAAGAAACCAATATTCTGTTGTATCATTAAGTTAGATAACCTAAGTAAATTGTTGATTGAAAATTTTTCTAACTAACCTTGAACAATGGTTATTTTTGGATTTGTGAGGAAGAATAGTGAAAACCAAGAATGAAGACATTATAAAGATACTTATGTTCTGAAGCACTAATCCGCTTAAGTTACAGGGATTAATTCATACTTTCTACACTCAAAGACTGATATGTTTCATACTTTAAGGACAATTAGAACAATTAGGCAGACAATTCTCAGTATTTTAGAAAATTGACCTAACTATATGTTCAATATGCAAAATAAATTCAAAGTAGTAATGCAAGAAAACTTTCTCTCACCAACTACAGAAGATTTCCCATTAATGTTGATGAAAATATAAAGAAAAACAAACAGAAGTGAGAATAAGCATGTTTATTCAAGAAAAAGAAAACTATTGATGTTAATGTGTAAATATATCCTGATAATAGCCTAAAGATCATATGACATCTGCATCATTCAAGCCCAAGGTTTCTCATATTTAAGTACTATTCACCGCTTTTAGTTCCTGAGTATAAACTACTAAGCTGTTATCATTACCACGTTTCAATTAAGTCAAAGGCCAGAAGGAATAAGCAACAAGGAACTCTGGGAACGAACCAACCAAGAACCTATCACCCAACAAATATGCAGAAGAAGAAAATGGAGATGTATTGGACTGGACATACACTGAGAAGGCCGATTGGGGACATCACACAACAGGCCCTCATGTAAAATCCGAATGGGAAACGACCAGTTGGGTGTCCAATGTGAGGGTTACTTGGAGGAGGTAGTGTGAGAAAGAAATGAAAGCTTGTGAGCAGTCGTGGAGCGAGGTTGAAAAGACTGCAGAGAACAGAGTGCAGTGGAGGCGTGCTACGGAATCCCTATTTTCCACTACGAACCCAAGGGAAAAATAATCATAATAAATTAAGTCAATTTTTCTTCTTTCTTCACACTGGGATATTCTTCAGTCTTTATACGGTTTAAGTTTATAGCCTAAAGGGAAAGTACTTTAAAAACAAAGCATCTAGCCAGAGATCTTTTTAGACTATTTTCATTGAAATAATCAGTGTTTATAAGCCGAGATTAATTTCTAAACAGAAATACTAAAGAATGCATCGAAATACATAGGGAATGCTATGTGTCTACATTTGCTTCAGAGTAATTGAGTGTGTTTTAGTGAATAAACCGATAGCATTATATATTTCGTCTATGTCAGGCTTCACACTAAATAACACATGTTCTCCTTTTTTTGAATGCTTAATCTTCAGAGTTAAAGATAAACCAGCCATATAGAACAACCTATAAATAGAATGGAACTGGATCTAGTTCATTTTCAGTCAGTGAAATAATTATATCAACTAAATTTTATCCCTAAGTTCTAATCTCTTTCTACTCATACTTAACATTCATTACGCTGAACTGAAGTCATTCCTATACAGTTTTATTACAATTTTTACAAACATGTTTAGGTTCCCTAATAATTAGCTAAGAACCACTATATCTTATTCTTTAGGTTTATTTGTATTGTATATATACAAAAACTAGGTGAATTTATAAAGCGAAATATAACCGTCACATTTGGTGATTGTTGACTTATCATTCTGTTGAAATTCTTTACAACGGAAAGAATGATCAAAGATTGATAAAGGTTATCCATCCTGAGTTCTCTTAAGAAACTCCAATAAATAAAGTAACAGCCAAATAATCATACCTGTGACTAGAACATTTTTACTTTTTCATTTTAAACAATCGTAAGTAAATAACTTTCAAGATAGGCCAGTCTGTTTAACAATGGTATCACACTGATTTTATAATTAGTTAATATACTAATAATCGTCCTCTCTCAACGTAACCAGTCAGATTTCTCAATAGCTTATCAGTAATGCATATTTATACTAAAGAATATTATGCTTTTTTAATGAGGCATTAAACCACTCTGATGTAGTTCCTTCACCAGAAATTGTACATATCAATCTTTTTTCATCACCTTCAAGTTTGAATTAATGTGTGAGTTCAGAAAAGAAGTTTGAATTGTAACTCTAGATTAGATAGTTTGTTTGATACACTTCTATTTACTAAATGGTCTTTTGAGCACAACTCACTTCTCATATTCATGTAAGAGCATCTATATAACTTTAGAACTTCCTTTTTATAGTCCAATATTTCCTCATTCATTTTATTTTATTGGTTGTAAAATTTTCTCAATACCTAAAATATGTAATGAATTATTCTTGTTACACGTGTTAGGTGTCGACTCGATGAACAAAGATTTCGCAATCAATCTCCCCCTCCACTTAGCTATAGCATTTTTTATAACTGTCACTCTATCCAAATCTATAGAATGACTATGAGTCAGTGCATGCAGATTGATAACCGTGTTTTCCTGTAAATCACTCATCTTGGCTATACCTATCATTCTATAGCTCGTTAAATATTTGTGCTCCGTTATCCTGTTTGACACCGATCGCCTACTTAAACTCATGTACCTATGTAAAGTAGCCCAATGAGATCAGTCAGGATAGCAAAGAACAAAGATTTGACGAAATATACCCCAACTCTTCTCATGATCGTAACCTTTGTTGGTTGTCACAATGTAAAGAATCAGTTATATCAAAAGGCATCAACGGTCAACTTCAGACATTTCTGACAGATAGTTAGCCAAAGACTATCAAGTAATATCTTGAAAGCCTTCAACTTATGATGCGTAAGCAAGAAGATTATTGACAACTTGAATTTCCAATCAAGAGTCGCAATTGTTTACGGAACAAGCTACACCTTTTCTTTATATTTAAACAGACAACAACAAACTAAGTTTTCATACAAATGAAATTCTAAATAAACAATGTTTAATATGCAACTGTAATTCATCGCCATTTTCGGTAATGAAAGATGTCATGCCATAATAGTCCTAACTTGCAATATATATATATATATATATATATATATATATATATATATATATATATATATATATATATATATATATAAAGAGAGAGATTGGAAGCGGGTCACCACTTAAGCAACACAAAAGAGCTGCTTACACAATATGTATAGGTGATTAGTTTCTTTGTTTCAGTTGGTTAAAATTTTAAGCGCTTAGACGTAAAGTACATGAAGCTTGTGCATACATGAAAACATATTTGAGTTATTTTCACTCTAGTACGGTCACGCGTCATATCCAGTATGTGAGATGTCTAGGCTCGTTCATGTCGCCCAATAATGTAAGCAATCCAAAAAACAGTTTTTTTTTGCATCTTATTTCGGTCAGTCACTTTGTCAAAGCTGATTTCCTATTTATCCTAGCTCGAATCCTTTGATACACTTACTGACTATGACTGGGGTTGTAACTTAGATCACAGCTTGCAATATATTTCGAAAAACATTGATAAAATCACCATAAATGTGAAGTATACGTCTGGAAATAAAGTACCGCCAGCAGATTTGAAAATCAGAAGATAAATTTTCTTCAAAATTGTCGTTTTTAAGTTCAAGTGAGCGTTTCGTGTCTGGAAAAATGATCCATTACACAAAACAAACACCTTCTAAGGTGAAAAACACAAAGAATGTCTTCATATATCCACAGTCTTTTGAGTGGTTAATGAGCTTTACATCATCTTTCATGAAAACGCTTAAGGTTTTATGCTTTTTACCGTGCACTTCAATAACGTAAATGTAGCTTCAACTACTTCTGCTCCATTTAAGATATAAACTAGTACCATTCTCATTATTAAAGTCATAAAAACTGACATCACGTCTCCGAATTTTTGTTAACTGCATGAAAATATCATAGGTGAAATGTGAAACTTTTTAAGCATTTTAAGTTCCTAATCATAATAAATTTCTTAACTAACAGAACTTCATCAGTATCTAAGATTGTATCAATACCTTAATTACTACCTCGTGCAGTGAATAAACCGTCAAATTATCTATTCTTGACTAAGAAAAGATGGATAAATATTCAAAAGTTGAATAGCATTATACATAATCATTGCAAACAAACTCAGTTGTTCAAATTCAGTGGTCTTCAATGATTTCCCAAATGATGATAGTCCGTAATGAATATCACCCTGAATTCAATCAAATCCCCAAAAGCTTCCAAACTGAAGTAGTTGTAATTTACTGTGTAGTATGACTTGATCATATTACAGCACATCCATAGGTTTGAACAAATTCCTTCAAAACTTAATAGTTTATCGATCATTTCAAAGTTAAACGCCTCTGTATTAGCCAATCACAGTGATGTGAACAACAATCATTGAGAGTAACAATAAAGAACAGACATGTAAATTGATCCCTTTGATAAGTGTTTTTGCCTTAAAAATATGTGTACCCCCAACACTGCTCAAGCAACATAAGCATTAAATCTTCTACCTACTTCATGTGAGCTTAATTCATTCGCGCGTAGTCCCTTGAATCCTGATCATAAACTCATTTACTTCATGGACTTCTTGTTTTCTTCCCATTGTTGGTGAAATCAGTACAGTTTGTTCGTTCATGCACACAGACAACCTGAAGACTACATGAGCTCATGAGAATATGAAATTACAACTGTATCTAACAGGTGGTTATATCTACTGTCTTTAAGTGGTGTAAAGTTAGAAAATAGTACAACAAGGAGATGAACCGGTTAGTATGAAAAATGTGTGGTTTCAAGCGAGTGAGCACCAAGACTATCCAAAAAAATCAATTGTGAAATAACTACCTTATTAAATGAATGACTTATTTCTAATTCAAAAATGTAAACAAAAAGGGATTATTTATTCCATCATGGATTTTGTGTTGCGATAACATGAACTCTGTTCACACACATACAACTCTTGAATGCAATTTAGTTTGCTTAATGAATTTATGTAGCGTAGCAAGAAGACGATGATTATCTGAAACATATTATAATTAAAAACTAAGTGATGATTGAGTTCTTGGTCTCGGGAATCTAGTTACTTTCGGTAAGTCGTTTGGTATCATAAATTGAACAGAGTTAGTACGCACTGAGTGTGAATTCCCAAAAACCTGTATAAAGATAAACAACAATCAAAAAACAATATTACGGAAGACTACTGAACGACAGTGACTAACCATCCCACTTTAATTCATAATTATATCACCTGAAATGATTCAAAAACCAATGAAATTTATCTTTATTCTGCATCCGTTATCCTTTCATTGCTCCAGTCAATATTATTCAAGACAGTCGAGTGTATTATGTCTGTCAGATGCAGTTCTTCCTTCATGTCTCCTTCTCTTTCTTTAGACCAGCTAAAAATACCACTGTGGGGTGATAACAGTTATGATCAACGCTTCGATCAAAATAGTACTGCTTCCAACAAAACTGGCTTTCATCACTTGTCAACAAACTTAAATGAAAACACTTCATTTCAGAGGAATAGTCAGTCAGAAATGTGGAATAAGAATCAACCTTCCTCGAGTGAATTACTATATTCAAGAAATACTGGTCGTCTGTTGCCTCCATCTAACAACAACAGGTCTACTAGAGCACGTAACCAAACTTCTGTAAGTATTACAATTTAGTTTTTATTGTGAGGTATTTCTTGGCTGCCTAAATAAGTTACTTTTGATGGTACTTTTATAACTGACAGAGATTAATAACTGTCTGTGCTTTGACACTTTGCTATGGAAATACTATAGACAAATCGATAAACCTAGAAAAGCTGAAGCCTAGGTCATGAGTCTTTTTTGAATACAATATGGAAAAGATTCTAGTACAGAGAATGAAATGTTACGTCTCCAACCTATAAGTTGGAATCTTTTGTAAAATGCTTCATAAGATTACTTCTGATATGCTTCAACGATTCCAGTATTTAGATATGCTCTACATGTCACCAAAACTTAATCCAACCCACGAAATATAATATGAATGAATACTACACTTCATATCTTTTCTTTTGCTATCCACTACCGCCTGGAACCCTTTAAATAATCCTTCTGTTAGTCTGTCTTCAAAACAAATTTTCTTCTGATCTTACTCTGAATTTTCAAGTATCGACTGCTCTGGATAAGATCATAAAGTGTAATTCAGTTTAATTGCCTTCTGTTTAAAATCAAGCGTCATTATTTTTGTCACGGTAAATCAGGAATGAAGTCTATATTTTGCATGATGTTTATGCATAGGTACTGAGTTGTAGTGGTATGGTTTGTTTTCAGTGAGTACCATACTAGTAATCAGAGCAGTCATACCACAGGCTACATCATTTTGTCTTCCAAAAAAGTGTATTTGAGTTCTATGTTTCTGTTTTGCTTGAAGGAAACCTGTGATAAGTATTTTAACAAGCTTTAGGCTACTTCATTCGATCATAATTGAAATCCTGTCTTGAAGATTTTCAGTAAGCCAATAAACTTATGTATCAGTTTTGAAAAAAACAGCTGTTAGACGGTTTAAGAAAGCTAACATGCAACTTTACACTTAGGTTTGGCGCTTTTTGGCATTCATCAGTTAGATGCATCTGTAACTTCAAGGAAACATATGTTCCATCTGAGTTTCGAACCCATGTCACTCAGTGCTGCATTGAAAGACATCACTAACGAACTATTTAGAACAGAATGAAATTGGCCTCTCCCCGTTAACCAGTCAGCGTAAGGACAAGCGTATTTCTGAGAATGAGCACCGAGAGTGTACTTATCAAAGAATCAACTTGAGATGAACGTTTAGGCAGCCCAAAGACAGTAGCAATGAATCCGCTTCAACCACAAAGATAGTAGGTCGTGGAAATGTTGACATGCAGTAAAACAGTTTTTCCGAATAAAAGAAAGCCTATCACAAATATGTATTTTAACCAAGTTTCAATTGAGCAAATAGATAAGAGGAAACAAAGAAGCCTTTAAACTTGCTTGTACTTGTTAAAGGTAACCAACAACAGTTGGCGATGAACAAACGAAAAGGCGTGACAATATGTCGGTGAAATCCAGAGTGGGTACTTACAGGCGAAAAGTTATCAACATATTCTTGAAGAAACAGACATTTTTAGTTAAATAAGATCATTAACATATTACTACTATAGACATGTCTACAAACTGCACCTACTATTTGTGTGGATAAAACCTTGAGTAATAATAATAAATCCACCTGAAAACTTCATGAATACGTTGCTTAGCTAACCGATATAGACTTGAAGCATGCTAGAATAACGGACACGCACAAAAACTACCGTATCAAGGCATTATGAATATATACTATAAACTGTTTCCGAAACGCCATCCAGTAAGTATTACCCTTTTACTGAGTGATGCAATTAAATAAACAAACAAAAATGGAATTTTTCCCAACATGTATGACCAAATCAGCACAGTTGTTTAAGATAAGTCAGGCTGATAATCTATCTATCATTGAAGTCAGATATGTTGTTGCTTTCAATACTTGAGAATCAACTTTTAAATATAGAGATTCATACCATGCACGAGAAACCCTCTTCTTAGTTATCGGGAATAATGCTGAAACAAGCCTTCTAGCTGGCCATCTGAGAATGAGTTTTTTACATAGAGAAAGATTTTGACCAGTGAGGTCCATTAATTTTTAAACTACATTAGCTGCCGAAATGCAATAACCTTAGAGGACTACATCCACATCAGATTTTACTTCACCACGAAATATTTTGCTTTTATTGGCAGTGTTTATGTGCTGGAATTGATAGGGCTCGGTAAGACATGTCTTCAACTTCTAAGAAAACTACACCCTACAGAAGACTTCAATATAGACTCCACAAGACAAACGTCGGGGCAGTAAAGTCTCTGACTTTTAGTCTTCTGTAAACAGTTACCAAAATAATATCACCTAATTATAAACGAATACTCAACTGAATGAGAATGGAGAACTGTTTTCAGACTCCTGCACATTCAACAGTTTGGTGATTGGAGGCGATGCAGTGTGTACAAACACAAGGATATTCACAAGGCAGCGACATGGATTCGATTTCACCAGACACCAGGACACACTACACCACACTATACTACACTACACTACACTACAAATCAGATCAGATCAGATCGACTTCATCTCAATGTGAAGAAGGTGGAGATGGAGACGCAGCTTACTGAACATAAGATCCAGAAGGGGAGGAGATATAGAGAGTTCACACCACTGACCATCTTCTGCAAGGAACCTACCTCCAACATCAAGTTGAATGCCTTCAATTTACACAAGCTGGTGATGGACGACCACAGTTGAAGTTGAACACCCAGATCAGAAAGTGGACTGAAGGATGAAACGGCGAAGGACATCTTCACGTCAGACAGTCAGTCAGTTAGTCAGTCAGTCAGACAATCAACCATCCGAACAGAATGGGAGACATTGAGCAAAATGCATGAGGAAACCTGTGTGACAGAGTACTGAAAATCTGTGAAAGCTATGTGGAAGTAAACCTGCACAAGCGTGTTAGGAAGAGTGAATAAAGAAGACAGGACAATGAATGTATGTTGACGGACACATGTGAGTTGATAGAGGAGGGAGAGGAAGGTGGTGATAGAGAAACAGAAGATGAATCACTACAAGGATGCACAACAAAAAGAAGAATTGAGTACAATGTATAAAACACTACACTGGAAAAGAAATGAAGAAGAGTGCGCGCAAAGAAAAAAGATACTTCTACAACGCACTTGCAAGTGAGGCAGAACAGGCAGCAGGGACGGACAGCTGACAACATTGTATCAAATAAAGAGGTTAATATCTGGGAAGAAATCAACACAGATGAAACCAATGGAAGATGATGGTGAAGGAAAGCTAGTTACCAAAGAGTAGAAGCAAAGGAAACAATGGACTGACCACCTCAAAAAGCTCTTGAATCGACCACCACTATTTCCACCACCTGCAACTCGTTCAGAACTACCAGTGAAAACAGGCCTTCCGACGAAAGCCAGTCTTGAATGCCATAAAACTGCCAAAATTTTGTCAAGCGGCAGGACCAGATGGAATTCCACCAGAAGCACTAAAGTCGGACGCAGAGACAATAGCAGAAATGCTCACATCACTAATACAGAAGGTTTGGGAGAAAGGAAGGAAGGAAGGAAGGAAAGGTACCTTCCGATTGATTGGAAGAATGGCCACCACCACCAGCAGACTCCCAAACAACAGCGATCTAAGTCTTTGAAAGAACTGGCATGGAATCATGCTCCTATCCCTGTCCACAACAAGCAAAATATTAGGCCACATCATAATGGAGGGACTAAATGATGCTCTGCATTCAAAATTAAGACCGGAACAGCCTGGATTCAGGGAGAAAAAATCATGTGCAGATCAAATTGCAATGCTGCGCTACACTACACATCATTGCAGAACACAGCATAGAATGACAGTCATCTCTCTACCTCAGATTTATCGGCTTTGAAAAGGCCTTCAACAACGTCGACCAAGAAGTGATTTGGCAGGCAGCTGCTTCAACACTATGTTTTTAATGCCACAAATATTTATCAAACTCATCGAACAGCAGCTATGTGCTATATGATGGTGGCAATGCTACATGCCAAGTGATTCACAATGGAAAGCTCAGTAACGCCTTTGAAGTGAGGACAGGAGTAAGACAAGGCTGCCTCCTACTATCACCAATGATCTTCCTGATTGTCGTGGACTGGATAATGCAGCAGACCGTGAGGAGCGAGAAAATGGGCATATACTAGCTGAACTGAAGATTTGTATTTCGCCGTCAATGATGATTTATGTCTAATATCTTGTTGCACAAACTCGAAGATGTGAGGGCGAAAACCAACAAGTTGACAGAAGAGGAGAGGTGGGGCGAAGTGAGGTGAGGCGATGCAGCGGAGGAAGATGGGATTTCGTTCAAGTGAATGTAGAGAAGACAGAGGTAGAGGTGATGAAGATACTCAACCAACAACAGCAACAACAACAACAAGAAGCACCAATCACCATGAAGAGGAGAAACCTGAAGTAAGTAATCTCTTTCACCTACACCTACCCAATCAACGCAGCATCGTTTCAACTACACGCGGCACAGATGAGGATATGAAAGCAGCCAGGATCGGAGAGATAGCAAGACATTCCTTCCCGCATTAATCTGAAACAATCAGTGTGGAGATCTATTGCACTCAACATAAGGCGTGAACAAGATCCGGATTTTCAACACTACAGACATACATCACCAGCTACCACCTACGCTCACTTGATACAGAAGATCAGACGGCCAGCAAGAATAAACAACACGTAACTCACTGTGGCTGGCTGGCGACGAACCAACCAAGAACCCATCACCGAACAAATATACAGAAGGAAGTGGAGATGGATTGGATTGGATTGGGCATACACCGAGATGGCCGATTGGTGACATTATGCAACAGGTCCTTGAGTGGAATGCAAGGGAGAAACGACGAGTTAGGCGTCCGAGACGAGGGTGACATGGAGGAGATGGTGTGAGGAAGAAATGAAAGCTAATGAGCAGTCGTGGACGGAGGTTGAAAAGACTGCAGGGAACAGAGTGCAACTGAGGCGTGTTACTGAAGCCGTTTGTTCCACTAAGAATTCAAGGGAAAAATAATAACAATTATAATTATAAACGAACGTTTTGCGCAGCATACTTGGTAATTACGGATTCTTTTCGCGTTTATCCTAAGAAAGCAGTACAACACTTGAAGACAAAAACCTTAAAAGAGAGGCCATTACATGAAATTAACTTCCCGTAACCGCTAGGCCTGCTAAGCATATCAGTATCGCATTAGTCGATAGTGATTTGAATAATAATTAGTGTCACTATCTAGCTATAAAATGAGTTTCTTTGGAAAACACATATTGAATGTCCAAGAGATTCTACTGACATATGTAGAAGTGACTTTGCCCGTCTATTCAACATTAGATTTGTATAGTGCAATTCATACTGAGACAATGGGTTACTACTGGTTTAGTGCATTCAGAGTGAATTGAGGAAACCTAGACAGCATATAAAGTTCTTTATACCAATGAACAGATTTTGCATTATGAATCACTATAAGCATTTATGTTATGAATATTTACACACATCACGATGACTGTGGTATGTAAGATATACTTGATTTAAGTTATGAAGAATACAGGCCAAACAAGGATGAACAAAAGTGCCCCACATCTTACTTGCTTTTATTAGCAGAAAGTTATAATGAGGAATGGATTTATGTTAACTCAGCTTTCAACTTGGCTTCATATCAATAACAGAAGCACCAAATACCTTAACAACAATCCTGTTTCACTTTGGCATTTTATAGCCTGTGACAATAAGGGATGGATATTTACTAGTGATACTGTATTCTGGTGGTTCTACATCACAATTTGATGAAATTTGAATTCTAAGGACTGAGTGATGATGCGGTGGGTGTAAGACTTATGTCCTCAGCCTTATATTAGTTTATGGGTGCATAGTGATGAAGATTTGATATACTAAATGCAACAGATTTCCACTATTCATCAGTTTTCCATTGTTCTCCAGTTGATTTAAATGTTTTTTAATCAGATAGTGGAAATATTTAAGCATCAATTTGGTATCACCCATGCAAAACTATGAAATGCGCATAGCGTTGTTGTCTAAATTAGCTTACTATAAAGGAATATAAGATGAGCATAAAATTGAGTTTAATTTTAGCTACTACATATTTATACACCAATCAAGTTTCTCTGCAAACAGGAACAAAAAATCATACTTATACTGGGTGATCATTGAAGGTGACATGAAAATCTGGACCTCGGCCGGATTCGAACAGCGACCACCCGGTGGTCGCTACTTTAAACGAACTACAATTCACAACTTCAAAATACTTTTAACCGGCTTCAGGGAAGAGAAAAGTATCCCTTAGCAGAGATTTTTAAAGGACAATTTTTCGATAATGCAGTCCACTGGCTTCAGTGGCCAGTTTCACTTTTTTGGCTTTACAGCTGTTTAGCTGTTTTCCAAGGTAACCAATAAAATTTCATCGATGTATATTAAAAAGCAGTATATTTTATCCTTACTTCATGAAATCTATAGAGCTGTGATAGAAGCCAATATCTGAAAAATACATCCACGACAGATGAACTTTTTCGTGAATATGAAATTCAAATCTTCACACTTATCTGTAGTATTCTACAAACAAATGATGTGAATGCAGTCCAACACTGGTTGGAAAATGCAACAGATAGGTAAGTGGAGTGAATAAATTACGATATTGCATAAGATGAGAAACTATTATTATATATGGCTATATATATATATATATATATATATATATATATATATATATATATATATATATATATATATATATATATATATATATATATATATAGTATATGGACAGCACAGGTAAAAAATTCATTGATAAAATTGCAACATTACTTCAACTGGTGATCATTATTATCAGTAGGGAAAGTCATGGTAACCTCCCATTTTGCTTACCTCTAAAGTAAATGTTGCGGAAGCTTCGAGTAAAACAGACACCATAAATTTAACAAAATAGAACCACTTTTACTTATATGTGCTTAGGTGCCTATTGAGGTGAACTGATACACTTGATCAAAGACTCCATACTGCAGTGTTCACGCAGAACAAAAGGGAAACAATCAGCAAAGATTACCGAACTATAGTTAAAATACATGCATCTAAACTGTTATGAATCAGTGCAAGTGTATTAAATAACTCATCAACAGGAGTGTCTATGATGTATCCCTGTCAGTGAAATGAGCATGTGTTGATCATTGGGTCTACTTGGTATTGCTCGCTAGACAGATAGGCTGTGTGACAGAATAATATAAAACCTGTCTACCTTGGCAAACACTGAAACAGATTTTCCTACTATCTACTGGTATGCAATGTAGCTTAAATTTTCACTCAAAGCAAAACTTCTTCTTTATAAACATGGCATTGATCCATGGAAGATTAAAACCTGGGCACTGAAGTACAATTACATACCACACTGTTTATCTGAATGTGAATATGAATATGAGCAATAAGTACTGCTCGAAGCGTCATCCAGTAAATAATGCTGTATCACTGTGTGCCATTCAATTAAACAATGTAGTATGCAATAAGGGAATTTATTCTACAAGTAAAATAAACTATGTATGATTCTCATCATTATTACACTAAATATCCATGTTTCATTAGTTTACTCCTGAAAAAGATACAAATTTATGTTAAAGGGTGCAGCAATACCTCCCAGATGCATCAAAAAAGCCTGGAAACACCAGGAAGCATTCATAGCAAATAATCGCAAATCGAACATGTGGAAAGAACCAAATGATCATGAACGTGACCTTCTGGTTGCTTGTTTGGATTAAATCTATAGGAAAGGACATTCTAGGAAAATTTAGAAAATAAAGAAACCACTAGGAGCAAATGCATACATACTTTCACATTTTGTACGTGTGTATGCCCGCCAATAAGACTTTTATCGTTTTGTGACATCTTTCTGTTTTCGAGGGACAAAAAGACCCTTATAAGGGAAATCTAGAAGTTTTCGTTCAAAAGTTCAGCTACTCATCTTATATCATTTAGAGGAGATATTCTCCTAGATGAACATTAATCTTGTTGAGCGTTTGTATTTATAACATAGGCTGCATTGTAAGAACATCAAACAAGATAACTTCAAGTCATGTGTGTGAAATTTCAGTAGACAGAACTTACAGTGACCAGTTAGTCTTACACTGACATGTTAATCATTTTTGAAAGTAAGTATCACTTCGAACGTATCATCCTCAGCTTTGTGCCACTTATTACAGTGGATAGATTGCACCGTAGGTATCTCACCTTTTTTTCTTAAGCGCACAATATTCAAGTAATAACTGCTCTTCATCTGTAAGGTAACTAACTATACTACCATATAAGTTATCGTAAATGTTTCGTGCTATTGAAAGCAGTCTGCAATGAAGAGATTTAGTTGGAATTCACTTTAAAGAAGTTAAAAATGATGCGCTTCCCTCTTCCAGAAATTTACATTCCTTAAATTAATATGATGCTCTCTAAAAAGGAAAGTTCATTTTAAAGTCTATATGTTTCTTTGATTTCAAACGACGACAACCCAGTAGGAAATAAACCTAACTTTAAAATCACTTCTGTACTGTTTTCTGTATGAATTTTAGGGAGAAAAGCCTACTCATTAGTCTGATTTCTACTGCACTATCCCACCAGAAGGTATATTTCGACCTTAAACAACCCACTGAAATTTCTCAGAAATCTTACTGGGACACGCATCGTTCTCGAAGAGAAAAATGTTCAAATAATGATGTGGTAAGCTTCGTTATGCTTAAACTAACTTGATAATATATGATGCAGTGAAATGCACACCGTAGTGCATTCGCTTAGGAGCCCATCAGCCAACAGAGGTCGAGCGATTCAGCCCTGTATAGCAACGAGAAATTACAAGTATTACTACTAGAAGAGAGGACTTGTTAGCCTCAGACTATCTCACTGAATCATTCGTTTGGTAAACAGCAACTGACCCAGCAGCTTGATAGGTCCTCTTTAATGCAGTATTTATTTATCGATCAACATCTTCGTAATCATTACATAGAAAAACAAATTTCTTCTCATCTGTAACACACTCCTGACTTTCATTTAGTTTTTTATTGTAATTACCGGTGAATTTTTGTGCATATCTATTTTTACGGAAGATTTTTTGGAAATGCTCATTTCTTCTTCGAACCCCCATTTCGACCAACCATATTTCATACGACTCGCACACACGTGCCAAAGTACACACACCGGATGGACTGAAAGAAGCTTTTTTCACCTTATGTGTGATAATATTCCAAGAAGTTCACGAATGCACAGTAAGAAATTCTTCAATAGCACTACTGCTCGTTAAGTTATTGGTAGTGGACATGAAGTTTACATCCAGAGGTTGTTTAAAATAGTTACCGAACAGGTGAACTCGAACTTGCTGCTTCTGCTGGAGGGGTAGCTAATAAGTCACTGAAACCTAACTTATGTATTTAGAAAGAAAAACAGTGATGAGTCTATCCCTATCATGGCAATTTCTATTGATAATCGTGGTGTTTCCTGTTTCATCATCAACTAACACACTTTTATTGTCATTCCATTTCATAATCTTGACCTTATTTTCCGAACTGATGTAAATTATCTAACCTTTCTACACATTTTTTACGTAACCTTTCTAAATATGTCCAACTTCCGCTATAAAATTGTCCGTGAATTTTTCTTATACATTCAGAAAATCTTATTTTTAGTTCTTACACATCTGTTTACCTAACTTGTGCAACTTCAGTCACAACGTCAATCCCATCCCCTTTAAACCCGTAATTTTCTATAAAATTGGTTGAAGTAGGCAAATGCTTTGCAAAATTCGCAGTAAAAATTGTCTTAGTTTTTAAGCCACTGATGAGGGACCCCACCAATAAAATAGATCTAAACCATCCTGCTACAACTGTTGTTCCTGATCTATTCAGATTTATCAAGAGAAGGAATTGTATGTGAATGCAATTGCTGGTAAATCTCGTCAATGGCTAAGATAACGAAATAGATTTAGTAGGCTTTTTATCATGCAATTCTTCAGCTTCGAATGATGAATTCCCAAGTTTTCTACCATTCATAGCAGATACAAGCGTAAACTTTGAAGCAGATTTGCTGTAGGCAGTATACAATAAGGAATCTGAGACTGAGCGACAAGGACTTAACCATTTAAAAAAACTAAAATATCTCTCACTAACTTTCAGTCTCTTTAATATTTCTTCATTATTTTTGATTACAATCTGCAAACTACAGTGAAAATCAAAGTTTAAATAACATAGGTGTGAAACTTGGGCACTGTGGTAGAATTTAATTCCATATTAGATTTGTTTATTTGATTTATAACACACAGTGATACAGTATTATTCACTTGATGGTTCTATCGAATCCTTAAACCAGCCAACAAAGCTGGTCTCTGAGTGAGGTTGTAGGTTTAAATGCCGCCTTAATTCCAGTTTTGTTGAGAATCCTACATAAAGTTTCTGATGCACACTCCCTATAGGGTAACACAATTGAGACTGTGAACTCCTTATGACTTGTGTTGTTGTTATTATTCGTACTCGTGTGACTGTTATTTTTTCGTTTTTGCGTGTCCGTATCAATTAAGTAAAATAATATAATCTATCAAATTCCATGTAATGACTGTGAGGTCAAGCCTATAGGTCAAACGAGCCGGTCGGGGTCAGTTAGAATAATCGAACGTAGAAATATAGAATGACAGACTCCAATAAGACCAATAATCTAGAAAGACACTCGGCTATTGCAATGCATACATTAACACAACCACACAATAGGGTGGGATAAAACTACCGTACTTAGTTTCAATATAATTAGGTGGAGAGAGAGATTGATTCCTAAACCTTTGTTCATCGAATCGACACCCAACACGTGTAACAGAAATGATGCAATACCTCTACCAGAGATATAGAAAATTTTATTACCAATGAAAACAACTCATATGAGGTGACATAACTATAAGAATCAAATGTCGAAAGTGGTGTGATTACATTGATATGATTATGAGCAATAATTTATACTCGAAACGTCATCAAGTGAATAATACTGTATCACCGTGTGTTATAAATCAAATAAACAAATCTAATATGGAATTGAAGTTTGAATACCTTACCAAATGTGATCTTTGTCCGAAACACTTTCACAGCATACAACACTCCTGCATGGTAGATCATGTTTTCCAAATAAAATCACCAAGTACTTTTGGGAAATTCTACTGATTAGCAAAACCTTACAATTAGAAGTAAATAGGTTAAACTTATCAGTTTAAGTTGTTATTCATCGTAGACTGACATCAGTTGGAGGAACAAAGGAAACCTGGGGGCACTGGACAGCTATTTCGTCCTAGTACGGGACTCATCAGCGGTGCGCACCCACGACGCCGCCGGGGATCGGTCCCGCGACCTTCATGTTCCGTGGTCAGTGCGTTACCATTGAGCCACTGGGTCAGAATCCAACAGAAGTTGGAAATATGGGGCATTGGATTCTGACCCAGTGGCTCAATGGTAACGCACTGACCACGGAACATGAAGGTCGCGGGACCGATCCCCGGCGGCGTCGTGGGTGCGCACCGCTGATGAGTCCCGTACTAGGACGAAACAGCTGTCCAGTTCCCCCAGGCTTCCTTTGTTCCTCCAACTGATGTCAGTCTACGATGAATAACAACTTTAAATATTTCCAAATCTCCACAACTCCCTCAAAATTTATCAGTTTAAGTTTATTTGTCCCTTCTGTTTTGCCTTTTTGATTACTTTAATAACATGCCATTTCATCTTTCTCTGCTAGAACTTAAATACAATGACAGAAGAGAACAATACACAAAACTGTTGCACTACAACAGATCGTTTATTGATAGATGATGCTCATAATTTAAATGAAACACACAGCAGAGGTGAGTAACCAGCTGTATCATCAATTATAATGGCCATTTTATTTCTGACAATGTTTGATACATTTTGGAACTCTCAGTATATAACATCTTGACAGATTTACCCAACTTAAAATATTTTAAAATAAAATAGTGATGGAATCTATGTAGTTTCAATAGTAACAGTACTACAAGCAGTAAAATGTAATGAGCAACTGTTTTCAGGTTATCCTCCAGTCTGAAGTTACAGTGTTGGCGGGTGAAGGTGATGAATGTAAAAGCTTATACAGGTCTGGTCGTGGTGGTTTACTTAGGTAGCATGAAAATCTACAGCTCCACTAAAATATTTCATGAATAGATATGTAGTATATTACTGTGTAGCACATTCAGTAATAAACGCTTTCTCTGGTACTACTAAGCAATAGCTAGAATAACACAACACAGTCAGCTTCATGTACTCCTTTCAAAACTGAATGGAACCCCATAAAATCTGTGACTTATTGGCGTTTAAGGTTGAAGTCAATGAACACTCATCAATGAAATACGTGGAGAGTGTAATAAAGTTAGTAGGTCAAGACAATTGGCAGTTGGGCAATAAATATATAGGTTAGATTGTCCACTTGCTGAAAAGTTTTTGTTGAGTGTCTAAATCTGTTTACAACCCTAGAACCCTGCAAAGTGACTAATAATTTGAAATAAGTGTCTCACAGGTTTCAATAAATTCATACTGAAAAGAGGCCGAGATATTTTATTCACTCTGCAGCTATTCTGTTTATTGACACCCATGATTTTCAGTTGTTATAGTAGATCAAACTGACCCACCTTTGTCAGCATGTTGGCTCCTTTATGGATATTTAGATTTTGCCTGTTTGTTAACATGTTATTTCCTTGATCGTGACTAGTAATGGAATCTAGGATGCCCATTTCATTCTATTTGTAACTCGTCAGTTGGACGTATCCGCACTCCAGGAAGTGATGCTGTTCTCGATGGGAATCGAAACCCATACCCATTACTTCAAGCGTCTAAGCGTTGTGGATTGAACCAACTCCGTAGCTTTTTTAGCTGTTTACTGACCAAAATATATTGGGATTCTAGTGGAAGCTTTATTGTCAGTTAAATTACTACATCAGTCCAAACGTCTACTGAGTATTTTTATTACTAAGCCAAATATTTGGGCACAAAATGTGAATCGATGAATATCAGCAGATATCATCACGTGTTCCGTAAATTTTAAAGCATGTGACAAAACAGTTAATAATGAACTACCATAGGCCCCTCCTCTCCCATGTTCTAATAACTGGAGGTGGGACAAGTGCATAAACTCCAAACCAGTAGTCTTCACTCAGCTCGCTACCGTTTTTTTTCACTCCAGCTGGATGAACAAGCCTCCCATCTCTATAGATTTCAGGTTAGAAACCCATGTTCTACATGTCATTTAAGTGGTTCTTTCCCTCTCACTTAGAAATTTAAAGATAAGACAGGATTTGTCATATTGTTTGGTCATATGATTGAGGTGTGTTGTTTGTATCTCCATTATTTAGTCATTTCAGCGTCTTCATATGTACTGTTCATTATGTGTCACATCCTAGTATTGGTCATACAACTGAACCAGGGTATGTGAAAGCCTGTACAAGCTTACTGAACGACTGTTTTCCAGTATGCAAACATAATGACCTTTTTTATTTCAACCTATTTGCTGACTTTTGTCTCTGCTTTTTCGATTTCCATCTGTTCCTTTAATACTTGATATATCATCAAAACATACTATGCATTTCCAGCTTTAGCTTTCGCTTCAAGAATCCAGTAAGGTATCTGGGGCACTTTAATTTTCCTGTTACTTGTATCCTCTCCTCTTCTCAGTAATGATAAGAGAAGTTAACTGAACTTTTTATTCTTTCATAAATGGTTGATCTAGTTACTCGCTGACCAAACGGCTAGAGAACATCAGTTTCAACCTGTAAATCTTGTGATGAAAAGAAACCTAATCACTTACTAGCATATTGCTGAAAGCTCATAAATCTAAATACTTATCTTCATTTCCATCCACACTATGCATCCCTCCCCTCTACTTTACAACACGTAATTTGTCGCTTCCTATTCAATGTCTTTTCTTTTTCTGTCATTAGTGGGAAGTAGCTGAAGGTAACGTTTATGGAAGTTAACTTCTTCAGATTTAACTAAGACGGTGAAAAATTCAGTCCTTAAGTTTCTTAACCAATAGATCCCTCTGTGTAGGATCCTGGTAGGTTTTTCTTTATCGAAAGTAAAATAATTAATGTATCCCTAGGTTGAACATTTTCATTTTTCAATGGCAACTGATGACAGTTTGACTTTCAAAAACTATGAGTCTTATTCTGCTCCATTTACATACTAAAAACCCTATTTAATAGAGGCTAGTAGTAGAATCCAACAGCAGGTTTTTTTTCATATTTGGGTTTCTTCAGCTGGTTATAACTGCATCCTGTCTCAGGAAGTGATGGCCTGCTCACGGAGACTTAAACGCAGAACCTAGGCAATATCGAGGCGGCTGCCAACAAAGGTCTATCAGTTCGATCCTAACAAAATGGGAAATTACAAGTGTCAACAAATAAAACGTTTATTGTTAGACTTCTGTCGAATATAATGTTAAATCTTCAACACTGTTCCTTCTCGTATTAACTTTAATTTTTTCAAATACTTTTTTGAAAAAAGGTGTACAAGCTAATCTTCTTCAATCTGCATCTGATATAACTTCAAACATTGATCATTCACAGTTCAATGAAGCAAATGGTATAAATGAAACTTCCAGTCTTTGTCAAACGCCGCTAAAACCCAGCTGGAGACAACATGAATCAATTTGAGCACCTTACATCAATAAATGAATGAGTATTTGTGATAATATAACAAGTTAATTTGAATCCTCTTTAGATGTTGTATTGTGTCTGATTGATTTGCACGATCATCAGTTGTTTTCTCAATCAAATATTCAGTTAAATTACTCTGCAGTTATTTACTCATTCTTATAAGTGAAGGTGTAAAGAGTATAAGTTACTCTTCCACTCGATCAGAACGTTTTTCTTTTAAAGTATAATTATTTATTTAGTGAAGGAAAGAGAAAATAGTTGATGGATGAAAAACTAAAATACGTATCCACTTTCCAAGTTTACTTCACTTTCTTGACAGGTGCATAAGCTACACTCAATGATGAACAGTAATGACATACTCAAATGTTCAAACAAAGTTGAGATCTGTTTGTTCGATATTTGTTATACAACTAGTCTATTTTACAAGTTACTTCATTCATGTTTTACAATAAATAACTGTTGAGAAAGAATGGAAATATTTATGGAACTAAGTATAAAACACTTAGATTTATTCTGGTAGCTAGAGGAGTTTGTGAATATTGATTTGCATTTCTGAAGGTGTATTAGTTTATCGAATGTGGCAGATATGCCTTAATTTTCGAAACAAATGAACTCTGTGTGAGTGAACGGTTGAAATCTTTCTCGATTGTGATGTTAGGAGAATAAGACTAAACAAAATATATAGCTGACACATAAGTGAAGATAATAAATGCATTGTAAAGATAAATTTCATTTTATGGCAAATGGGATAAAAAAAAATGTTCAGGAAATCATCAACTACATGGGATCCATACTTTATCGTTTGTTCACGTTATCTCTACAAATCAATCGACGTGAAAATTATGATATACAGCGATATTTAAAAAATTACTGTTTTTTACCGAATAGAACATTTAGATACCTGATAACAGATTTTCTAATAAAAACTGTTACCATAAGAAAGAATGCAGTAACATCGAAATTAATATCTCTTCTAAATGTATCGCTTTTCTATCGAGTATACTCCAAGGATCACTGGAGATAATCTGTGTACCATATCCACCGCATACCTGACTCTCCATTCTAGAAATAAACACTTTTTTTGTCTGGTATTACTGATATGTAGTTATAAATTCACATGCTACTATGGAACAATAAAAATGGGAAGGGGACTAAGATGATCAAGTGAACGTTTTCAGCAATACTATCCGACAAACTCAAGCAAGATGATTTGAAGACCTAGTGATACCTTCACTCAATGTTATTCTAGCACTGTAGCACTATCTATTCTTACTCCAGAATAAAATTAAATAAATTGCACCAAAATACTAGGGTCCCCTTCCCACAAGTAAAAGAGTTGGCTGCAATACTAACGATGAAATTATTCTATAGCATATAAACATGTCTCTGTGCCTATCTAAAATCCTCGTAAATTCACTTCTATTTCGCTGCCTTCAGCTTGTCAAGCTATAACGTTCTTTCATTAAGATGAATCATTTCCAAGTTACTTCATACAACAGTTTTATAGAGATAAAAGTACATTAGTGAGTACCAAAGCGAAATCAATGACAAAGATAATAGTAATGCTGATAGTTCAAAAACTTTTCCTCTTCACTGTACCACTGCGGATTTACAAACTGTTTTCCTTGAATGTTCTAGCCCTTTTTACGTATATGTGACTTTAGCTCTGAATTATCGATGTCACGAGTAATTACAGTAACTGTAGCTGCTGGGACTTGAAACTCCATTATATCATGTTCAGCTGATGTTTCTGAAGTCATCAAGCTGGACAATTAAAAGTTCACAGAAGATACTGACGCATAGCGAACGCTGAATGAAAACAGTAGTAAAATTGATATAGTTTCCCACTTCTAGAAATCAGTCTGTTACTGGCTATATATGAGATGATATTTATTAGTAGAAACTACATACAAATCACTCATTATTATGTTAATAAGATTTGATGAGTAATTCATCTGTGTATTGTCGAGTATTCTTATAAAGTATTGAATGAAAGAATACAAATACGGCAGAAGACATCAGAAAGAGGTTATTAACTATAGCTTATCGAATATCTTCGTAATTCTTTGTATGTTTTATTCAAGTTGACGACAAGTCAATCTCCCAGTCATTAAGATTTTTGTGGAGCGAACTCAAGTTTCGTTGACTTCCTGCCTTGCCATTGGAAATGCTTTCAAATATATCAAAAGTTTTTAGTAAGCCATTCATCAAATACTATGCCAACTGATATAGCAATGCCACAATGCATTCACAATAAATTGTGAGTAATTGTGCCATCATTTTTGACCCAAAAAAGTCAACAGGAAATATCACCAAATGACAGCGACAAGATCAAAAGTATTTATTTTACACTGCACAAAAAATTAACGGGTGAAAAAAGAAGCTATTTGGAGGGGGAAATAATACTATTTCCCACGTGAATGAATTAAAAATGGTACTATTCCCCTCAAAATTTCTTAACAGCCTATGCAACATAATACAAGACAACATTCAAACTGATGGCAAAAGTGTTGCCCAGAAAAACTCTACATTAAAGATTGAAAACTGAGATAAAATTACTTTAAGAACAGTACTGATTGATGAAATCATGATCAGAAACGAATTTAGTAGCGATAAAAATCTGAATAATAAAATTTTGACAGTAACGTTGCCTAGTTTACTAGTTCATTAGTTCAATATCCAGTCCTAACCCGGATAAAGAGGGAAGGTTTAGCATAAAGCTAGCAATCATACCCTCAAAAATCAATCCAATCGCTAAACAAACTTCAAAGTACACATGAAATACAAAAAATAAAAATAAACTTATTACTTGCTGGAATAGGAGAGACAAAATGAAGCCAGTTGGTGAACACTGGAACTCTGTGAAAGTTATGTGGAAGGAAACCTGCATAATCGTTTTAGGAAGGAAGAATAAAGAAGACAGGACAATGAATGTATGTTGACGGACACGTGTGAGTTGATAGAGGAGGGAGAGGAAGATGGTGATGTTGATGGTGAAGCAGAAGATGAAGCAGTGCAGTGCAATTCAGGGATGAACAACGAAACATAAAGGAAATAGTCTCTTTCACTTACACCTACCCAGTCAAGGCAGCATCATTTCAACTACACGCGGCATAGATGAGGATGTCAAAGCAGCCAGGATCGGAGAGATGACAAGACAGGCCTTTCCGCATTAATCTCAAACAATGAGTGTGGAGATCTACTGCACTACACTACACTCAGCATAAAGCGCAAACAATATCTGGATTTTCAACACTAATGTCAGTCAAGTAAGCCAGTGCTTCCATGTGATGGTTGAGAGACTTGGTGGTGCGTCTCGGAAAGCGTTTCCAATAAACTACAGACATTCATTAACATCTGCCACCCCCACTCACTTGATACTGACACTGAAGATCAGATGGCCAGAATAATAAGAATAAGCAAGAAGGAACCCACTGTGGCTGGCTGGCTGGCTAGCTAGCTAGCTGGTTGGCAACGAACCAACCAAGAACTTATTGCCCAACAAATATGCAGAAGGGGAATATGGAGGTGTATTGGATTGGGCATACACTGAGAAGACTATTCGGGAACATCATGCGACAGGCCAGGTCAGGCCGTCGAGTGGGAGCAAAATGGGAAACGGCAAGTTGGGCGTCCGAGGGTGACATAGAGGAGATAGTGTGGTGAAGAAATGGAGGTTTGTAGTTTTCGGTGGAGCCAGGTTGATAAGACTGCAGAGAAGAGAGTGGAATGCAGACGTGCTTCTGAATCCCTATATTCCTTTAAGAACCCAAGGGACAAATAATAATGATAATAGGTCATGTCAGTATATAGCATTATTTCATATAACCTTGGAAGTTCCCTATTAATTGATTAGCATACCTTGTTTATTGATCTCGGTGACAGGAATGGAATTTCAGGTGCACGTTTCGTCTTATTTGGGACTCATCAGCTAGGTATAACTACACTCCAGTGAGTGATGGTATCCCCACTGAAACTCTAACCCTGTCCTCATCACTTCAAACTCCAGAGCGTTATCATAATAACTACTGATACTCGTTGCATAAGACGTGGCTATCGTGCCCCAGTTGCTTAGTGGAGGACGCTTTGGCGTTTGAAGCGATGTGTACGAAGTTCAAGTCTCAGTGGGAACACTACCACTCTCCGGGGCGTAGTTACATCCAGCTGATGTGTCTTAAATAGGATAAAACACGTGGCCTGGTTTGAATCTCTCTGTGAGCAAGATTTTCTTCCAGGTAGCAAATTCACCTCACTGATGAATGCTGGTAAACGTAACATTTTATGTTAGTAGATAAGATAATTGCAGTGACCTAATTCCTAAACAGTTCACCTCTAGTGAACTTCACCAACAAACTATGGTGACTGATTAACAAACAATCTACCGAAACGTAGAAGACTGATAAGTGAACTACAAGCTACCGACCAGTTATAAAACTAGTATGATAGACAAAAGCTGGTGTGGTAGAAATAATGCGAAGGTGGATAACTTACATTTGTTCTGTAATAATATGATTAAAGTGGCAGACCAGTAGGCAACTTAACTGATAACATGGAAATGTTATTATTCACCTAGTTTCAGCATAGTTCCTTACTAGCTGGGTGATGAAATATTGCATTCAGAAATATACTGACAAATTAGCACTAAGATGCAAACATAAAACTGTCATATATGTCCAGACAGAAATCAATGAGAAGATATAGGGTATCTTGTGTATCATGAAGTGTTGTTGTGAACTGTGATTTTTCAGTATAACTTCGGAAATCTTGATATAGAAGAAAGTCACAAAGCGAACGCAATTTAATTAGTGCATATGGATACCGAATGAACTAAACTCAGATAAATTTGACAGTATTCAAAATATTCCATATATAACTGACGCCCTACTCAACGTACTTAACTAAAAGTAATGGTTGTATGATTGGAAGAATCTTAACTTGGTGTATATAGGCAAATTATGAAATGTTAGTCAAACAGATGTGAACCCCATACAGAACAA